GGGCACAGCGGCATTCGTGGTGGGCACAGCAGCAACTGCGGTTGTTGCCGTCTGGCTGGCAGGAGGGGTGCTCAGCATCCCGAAAAGGATGCTCGGCTTCTGGAAGGAGGGAGGCTTGCTGGGGGTCGGGCCCAGCTCCGTGAACGCAGAAGGTGTCAGGCTGCTGGGGGCCTGTGCCCCCAACACCAGGGCGGCTGCAGTGACAGGCGTGTTCAGCACGGGCACAGGCTTGGTGTCAGCAGAGGTGGCAGGCAGAGAACTCGGCTCCAGCGATACAGCAGGGGCAGGAGGCTGTGCAGCTGATGAAGGAGGCTGGGACACTACCGCAGCTCCAGCAGAGTCTGGAAAGGGGAAAGAGCTTATTTAGGGAGAGAGGTCACCCACAGCCAGCCCACCCCTCTGGCCAGCCACTCACCCTGCTGCTGCAAAGGCTCCCAGAGCAGCACCCACCCACACCACAGAACCAGCCCTTCATGCTGTCACAGCTCCCACCAAGACCACAGGCTCAGCATCCACAACAACACCCCCCCAAGCCCTGCCTGCCATCTCTGCTGCCAGCAGAGCACTTGAACAGGGAGTTTTGCTCCCTGCCTCCTGCAGAGGCCACGCAGAGCTCCCACAATGCCTGCATTGCTCTGCCAGAGTTCCACTCTGCCAGCCCTCCTCATCCTCCTCACCTGTTGGTGTGGGCACAGCCTGGCTGCTCTGCATCTTCTTCAGGCTGTCCAGGAGTGAGTTGGTGCTGGCTGGGGCAGGAGCTGTTGAGGCAGGCGTAGCCTCCGGGGAGGTCACGGCAAACGCCAACGGCCTGGACACAGGCGTGGTCTCTGCAGTGGTGCTGGGAACCGCATCTAAGGGGAAAGCACAAGAAATCAACTCACTGTATGGGAGCACCCCTTAGCAGAGCTGCCCCAGCAGGGAGGAAAACTGCATGAACACTACACAGCTCCAGCCCTGGGGAACCTCACCCATCACCCTGGGGACTCTGCAGCAGGAGCTCTCCCGAGTCTGACAGCACTACGAGCACCCCCAGAACCCAGGACCAGGCAGGACTGGCCCAGGAGCTTCCTTAGCCTGCGACACACGGACAGCCCACTGTCCTGCCAGCTCTGGCTTTCTACTCCTTGCTGCCCCCCCACTTTCCCAATCTGTCCTTACCGGTCTTATCCTCCAAGACTTTGTTGAACCACTGCAACGCTGCCTTCTTCTCCGCATCCAGGTCCTCTGACGTGATGGAGTAGCCCAGCTGAGGTGGTGGGGGCTGCCAAGAGAGAGCAGCAGCTTAGCTCCTTCTCAGGGAAGCCAGCAGAGCCTCTCTGAACGTGTGGTGAAGGTTGGCCGTCGCAAGACCCGTGAAGCAGGTGGTTCTGCCACAGCACGCTACCGCGGAGCTCCGATCCCCACTGATTTTGGCCCCCGGCTTGGCGCTGAGGGCACGACAGGCCTTCCCCAGGCCATTACCTGGTCCGGCAGCAGGCAGCACAATCACACACAGCCCACCAGACACTGGGGCTGGGGATAACGTCACTTCCCACTCGGCCAAGGACGGGGCCTCCTTCCTGAGGGCAGGCAGGTCAGTCTCCCCCCAGCCCTGCAGAAATTGCAGTGAGCACATTCTATCGCCAGAGGAGGGCAAAAGGGGCTGCGAGACAGCGACGTACCAGCGTCAGATAGTCCCCCTGGCGAGACGACAGCAACTGGATCTTCCGCTTGCGCTTTCCGCTGCTCCCCGACGCTGATGCCGAACTCAGGGAATTCTGCTTCTTCCGCAGCGGCGTCTCTACCGCTACAGAAGGAGACAAGTCAGGACTGGCTGCAGGCAGAGGAGCCATTTGGCTTGTACCAGCAGGGCTGTCCCTTCTGACTCCTCTCTGGATCACCCATCTCAGAGGGCAGAGCCAGGGGCATGGCTTTAAGCCGAAGACAAGGCTGAGATGCCCTGGCCATAACACATCCTGGGCAGGCTGTTACAAGAGGCTGCTGGGGCTCTGCAGGGAAGCGGCCCCTTCCCATCTCCAAGGATGGTCCTTGCACACTGCCTGCCTGAAGCACAAACCATGCAAATGGCGTGAGTCACATCTAGTGCTGTGCCACGGGGCCCTGAGATGGGCACAGTGGATTTCCTCTCCGTTCTAGCTGAGGCAGCGTTGGGATAAGCTCAGCCTGGAATTTGATCCTGGTGCTACTTGTACTCCAGCAGGTCTTGCCCCAAGGCTGACACCCGGACCTGTGCTGGCTTAGGGGCTAGTGTTCCCCCTTGCAAGCCAGCTCCCAGGCATCTCCTAGCACACTGACACTGCCAGCACTCCTTGCTTATCACCTGGAAATCCTTCTAAGGCAGTCGCTGAGGTCAGTGGAAGTGCCACTGCCTTGGGACCAGCACACTCCTAGCTTCCAGGTGACATCTCAAGCCAGTCCCACGTGCAGACCTCGGCTACCTCCTGACCTGCTGCTTGCAGGCACCAGTGGCCCATCCAACCCAGGCACAGAGCTGGGGCCCACCTATGCTCACCTTTCTCTATCTGCAGCTCCTTGTCCGATTTCACTGGAGTGGAAGTGTTGGAGCGATGCAACTCCTCCTCCCTGTGCGAGCAGGAGAGAGCCAGTTAGGGTCAACTCCAGGCTTGGCCTGCACCCAGGGAGCATGAGACCAAACACACTAAGGATTCCCACCAGCATCCCTGGTGTTTCTTTGCCTCCACCAAACAGCTCTCAGGACAACAGCCTTTCCCTCGCTGCACCAGCCCAAACACGGCCCCAGGCAGAGGAGCTGCTCCCCTCCCCAGGACCCAGCTCAGTTGGGTTGCACATTCTGCAGTGCAAGGCAGACTCAGGACAGCAGCCAGGGGTCATGGGCAGGAGCTGCTGCCCACTGCAGGTCCCTGGCATGGACCCACTCTGCTGCCAAGGTGGGTGGTTGGGTTGCTTTTAGTACTGATATAAGCTCAGGTCCTTCTCTGAGCCAGAAGAGAGAACAAGGGCTTGTGCCCCAAGGCAGGCATTAAAATACAACCCCACTGTAGTTCCTGTGAATTGATTATAAAGAGATGGCAAAAAAATAGAGCCTGTTTCTTCCAAACATTTCTGCAACCAGCAACCCAGGCCATGCCAATGCCACATGGCAATGTTGCCTCTGCAGCAATCTGAGACCTTAAGTCTCTAACTTGGCCTGGGAGCAGGGCAGGGATGGTGCAGCAGAGATGCCAATCGACACAGCAAGGGGGCTTCCACACTGGTGGGTGACCTAGCAGCCACATCTCAGAAAGGGGCCTGGACTGTCCCAGCTCCGGTGGAGAGCACTGAGGTGGCCAGGAAGGGGACTGCTTTCTTCCTGGCTGGCACTGATGAGTGGGCACCCGCCAGGCGAGAAGCAAGTTACCTGGCTTTCTTGACAGGCCACTCAGGCGTCTGAGAACGGGAGGATGCTGGGCTGGACAGCGGGGACACACTGACACCGCTTCTCTTCCGCAGCTGGAACGCAGAGAAATCAACAGTAACTCAGTGCAGGGGCTGGCAGGGAGTACAGCCTCCCATCCTCCTGCTCACCCTCTGATTAAATCCCATCTCCCAGGGCCGTGGCTAATGAACCCAGAGCCTCTCTTGCTTCAACACCACTTAACTCCCCTCCATGTTCCATGGAGTGCAAAGTCTGGCCACCACAAACCGAATCCACTCTGGGAACAAGCAGTCTCCAGGCTCATTACAGCCCAGCTTAGAGGATGAGGAAGGACACTGCTGCTCAGATGCTCTTTGCCTTCATGCAGCACAGGCAGAGGCTGTCCGGCTGCCTGAGACACCCTCACGTGTGCAGGGCTGCTCTGGCAGAAGCAGGCCACCTCCTCACCAGGAGCTCAGAGCAGACGGATCCCACCTCAAGGATTTCAGACTTGTTCCAGCCAGAAGAAACCTTTCACTACCAATATATCCTGGAGGAAACCTTTCACTACCAGTATATCCTGGAGAAACCCTTTCACTACCAATATATCCTGGAGGAAACCTTTCACTACCAATATATCCTGGAGAAAACCTTTCACTACCAATATATCCTGGAAGAAACCTTTCTCCACCAACATATCCTGGAGAAAACCTTTCCCCAGACAAACCACAGAGCTCCATGAGCCATGGCTACATACCATCATCACATCTGCAGGCCTGACCCAGGATGCAGGCAGTGTTTTATTATAGCTCAGCAGCTGCTGAGGGGACCTGGGTCAAAGCAGAAATGCACAGCTCCCATACCTGCTGACTCCAGCTGAAAAGATGGCAGCACAGCAAAGCGTTTTTTTTCTCCTTTCACCTGGATCTAGCCACCCTAGCGACTGGCCCAGGATGAACAGAGAGGAGAAAACCGCACCCTCCTTGCTTTGTTGTAAAGCGTTGCATTAGGACAGCTCAGCCTGGGGACTTCCCTGGCAGCACACACTGAAGAAGGAGTAACAGCACTGCCTGCTGCTGCCAGCCTGGCAGCCTGCCCGATCCGCAAGGAGATGGATCTGCCCAGCCGAGCGGCGCTGGAGGTTCCCCGCAGTGCCTGGGAACACTGCACTCTTCTTAAGAGCCCAGGTCTGAGTTACACAGGGCAATCCCAGCGGGTCGAGCTACACCACGCCGGGCTGCGGCACTGGGGGGTTCCTACCTGTGCGAGGCCCCGGCTGGAGCTGTAGGAGCTGGCGATGGCATTGCGGATGGAGCTGGGGATCCCGCCAGCGTACGTATTGTTGAGGGAGCTCATGGAAGAGGTGCGCGACCTCTTGTTTGAGCAGTCATCCGGGCAATGAGAGACAAGGCTCCTCTTCAGAGAGCCAGGCCTAAAGGAGGTTAAAGATTTTATGAGCTCCCCATCAGTCTGCCCACAGGTCCTTTAAATGCAGGGTGAGCGAGACAAAGCAGCCCCACTCTTAAAGTGAAAAATGCCCTCAGCTTCAGCACAGTCCCTGTGGCCCCCGGCCTGCACTCAGGGTGACAGGCTGAAACCACAGCCTCTCTTGCTCTCCCGAAGTAAAAGCCAAGCGCCCTTTCCAGAGCCCGCAGGCTTTCGAACCACACCTCGAACCTCACAGCAGTTGCATTTGGCCTAATGGGTACTTACTTGGGTATGAGAGAGGCGGGGGCACCGTTGGCTACCAGCGGCTCAAACGCCGACTGCCCACTTCCACTGCTATCGTGGCGCCTGCAGGAGAGAGAGCAGAAGCCTGTGGTAGTGCAGAGGCAGCAGAGATGGGGGCTGCCCTTGAAGCCCTGGGAGAAGACTCCCTCCAGGTGGGCTCGGCACTGAGAAACCAAAAATCTTGCTTTTTAATTGTCAACCAATACCCCAAGGTCAGAGGTTCACCCCATCCATATCCTGCTGTGGATTTTTTCTTCATCTGGTCCTGTCCTCACTGCCTCTCAGCCCGAGCTGCCTCCGCCCAAGCACCAACAGCTCCACCAGCTGCCTGCTGGGCACAGTAGTTTTGGTGTAACAAAAGCTTTGCTCAAATCTGTTATTCTCAGCCAAAACATTGTGGAGAGTCTCAGCAGATCATTTCTAGAAGAGATCTGAGCTCTGAAACACAGATTTCCTACCTCTTTCTAGCCAGTGCCCTGGACTGTTTGAGTCAGAAACCAAATTCCCCCTTCCCGCAACGATTCAGTGAAGATCTGCAGTCTTAAAGCAAACCCTACTGTGAAGCAGAGCGAACGCTGTACCATCAGCCCTGTCACTTAGACCAAGCACTTTCCCCGAGCTCAAGCATGCTGACCCCGTCACACAGCACTCTCCAGCTGACGTAGGCTGCTTTCTGCCTTCAAAGGTCACAGGATTTTCTGTCTACAAGCATTCTTCGTGGTTGCCAGGCTTTAATGCCTTCAAAATCAGCTTTCAGGGCAGAGCTGGGTATTGGCACGTTAAGAAAATAAAGAAAAACACCAAGCTGATGCTGCCTGTGCACCTATCCTGTTGTCATCCTGCTCAGCTCCTGTGGGGCTGAGATTCACCAAGCCAAGGTAAAGGTTCAAAGGCAGAGGGAAACTCAGTGATGGAGGAGAGGATGGCCTGCCCTACTGCAGTAGGAAGGCAGTCGGCAGCTCCCCGCAAACCACCACTCAGCCCGCTGTGCTTGGGGCCTCCATGGAGGGCAAAGCACCTGAGCAAACTCTAAACTGCTCCTCTGGGGTCTCCTGGCTTGAGCCCAGGCTGGCAGCCCCTGCAGACGAGAGGCAGATGAGCATGAGGTGAATGGCCTCCACGGACAAACGTGAAAGGAGGAAACAGAGAACGGCGAGGCAGTGCTGTGCCTGGAGAGTCAGAAAGGCTGTGGCAGACCCTGGCACCCAGGATTTACACTTTGTCCTTCCCAGAGCGCTGGCAAAGGCGCTGCACCCTCATTTCTTGGGAGTTTAGAGCTGGAAATTGCTGACCTTGACTAACAAAAGTAGGAGATAGTCTCTTTTGTTTCCCCTCGTGTTTTTACCTCCTTTTGCTAGGTACAATACCCAAAGGAGGCATGCGGGTCTTTTGAAGCACGATGCTTCCACTGGGGGTTGTAAGACTTGGGGATTCCAAGACTTGGGGATCCCATCTGTCTCAGAAGCCTAGGGCTGACAGAAGGACAGAAGTGATAAACCTATGGCAGATCCCAGCATTTCACACCAGGTTTTCCTGGTGTGCAAGCCCCTCTGATGACAGGGACCATTTCCCTTCCAGGCTTCCCCAATCCACATCCCAGCCTTCCCCAACCCCATCAACACAGGGGAATGCGTTTGACCCACGAGCTTGCCCAGACAAAATCCTACACCACGTCCCTTTGATCTCAAGGACAAGAACTCGTGGAGGGCTTCCTGATACAGCCCAGAGGATCAGGTGATGGGCTGTGCTTCCTCTCTGCGGTTCAATTCCCACAGCACTTTTCCGTTCCAGACTCCAGGTCACACCGGGCCTGCTGTGCTCTGGGACACATCCCGTTTGTCACCACTGGAGCGCTAACCCCATTTACGACCTCCACAGCACACGAGCATTGACCTGGACTGCTGGCTTCGTACCTTCTCTTGCTCTCCTGATCATTCCCAAAAGCCTGGTCCTCCTCCTCCTCCTCTTCTTCCACAGCCCTTTTCCTGCTCTCCTTGATGGCATTCAGCACAGTCTCTTTTGCACATGGGTCCAGGCTGCTGTTGGCTGGGAAGGCCACAGGCGATATCAGCTGCTCCAGGCTGCAACGGCAAAGCAAAGCGTTAGGCAAGTAGGGATCCCTAGAATGAGATTCCTCCTCCAGTGCCCCACCTGCCCCCACAGAACAGGGAAAAAAATGTGTCCCCACCAGGGAAGGTTGGGACGCCGCGACCCTCTCCGCAAGGCAGCAGCAGGACAGAGCCAGAGCAGTCACCGCTGGGATGGGGGCAGCACATTGTTCCCGGGGAGCTACTCCGGGCAGCACAACTGCCTGAGGGCCAGGTAACCGGTCTTCCCCACCCCCTCCCCGTTCAGTCCCACCAAGGTGAAGTTCCCACAGCGCTGCCCACACCTGAGGTGAGGCCGAAGCAGGGCCCGGTCTCCGCCCCCCC